AGTTGATTCCATTTGGAACAGGTCGGAGAAGCTGTCCAGGCCAAAGCTACGCATCTGTGGTGGTAGAACTTGCACTTGCTAATTTACTATACACATTTGATTGGGAACTTCCTGATGGAATGAGAAAGGAAGATAGAGGCACTGATGAGTCACCGGTCTAACAATGCACAAGAAAAATGCTCTTTGCCTTCTAGCTCGACATTATGACGGGCGCATGTAAAGGTAGATTAAGCTACCACTTGGTATGTCAAATTGAATAAAGGTAGTGATCAAAAGTATTTGACTCTTATTGTGCATTAAAATCTCTAATTCTGACCTTTAAAATTCCACTGAAAATAAATCTTGTATACATTCTCTATGCATGAGATAACACGATAAATATAACATATCGGTTGTGATTTGTGTGTGATGAACAATCAAATAAACATAAAAATTCAAAGATAAACACAAAAATTTTATGTGATTCAACAACTTACCTACGTCCACGAGAGAACGGCTGTCTTGTTTTTATTCCACACTAAAACAGGATTACAACTTAATATAGGGCAATTCCAAAGATACGTGCACTCCGACAACTAGCCCATTATATTCGAACTTGATATATCTCTCCTTATATTACATATGAACCACGTGTTCTAACACTATATCTCAAACCCAATTATAATCATCCATTATCCATAATATGGTTGGATGTCTGTCGTATCTGAACATATGTTGAGTGAGTTGATTATAATATTTTAACACATTTCTGATCATTTTTTTTATTAGATGTTTGATTTCCACATGTGATATCCCGACACAATATCTTTTAATCCCTGATCACAAATATGGTTATCAAGATATATTAAAAACTAAATTCTTGTGTTCAATTCAGATTCTTCTCAAGGGTTCATATATTCCTATCCTAGGAGTATGTCTACGTACTCAAAAGCATTGCCCATTGCTCCACTTTGAATCTTCTTTTTTTCCTCTAAAAGCAAAACTTGTAAGGAAATCATCTATCTTAGTATTGTTCTCGTCTAAACATGATTAACTACAGTATTTTGATAGAATTTGATGCATTGTTGCTCCTTATGACCCTACGTCTAAATCCAAATCGTGCCCAAGATGTGCTCGATGCACATATCTACTACTTTTTTCTCCATGATATTGAAGCATTTTTGCCTTAGAAGTGCTTTATGATATCAACAATAGTGGCATATTCACATCTTATCACGAAGAGAGGAGTTACAAATAGGGTGGCAGCAGGTAAATAGAGGTTTTAGGCGAAAATTTTACATGCGACCTTATTAATATTTTGCCTATTAATATATATTACTTTTAATTCTTTTAATTTAATTTTTTATTTAAAAATTATTTTTAAAATTTTTAAATACAAAATATTGGTCAAGTTCTTATATTTAAGTTTTGACAATAAATATTTATCAATAGATAATATGGTGAATTCATTCAACCTTAATTGATCGTAAATAAGATATTATCAATTAAGTTTTGAACAAAGTGTAGAATAATTTTTGGACCAACAAAATTAGATATTGATTTGAATTCTTAAAATTTGGGTCTTAAATATTTGAAAAATATCTAAAATACAAAATCAAAATTAGGCCTACTATACTAAAAAGTAAATTTTTGGGAACCCTCTAAAAGTTGGGTTTAATCAAGTAGAGAGTAATTTTGGACCAAACAAAATTAGATAGTAAGTTGAACTCTTAAAATTTGGATCATATCTAAAATACAAAAAAAATAAAAAATTAGTAAATTTTTGAGAACCCTTTGAAATTTGGGTTAACCAAGTTGAGAGTAATATTAGACCTAACAAAATTAAATATTTAATTGAACTTCTAAAATTTGAGCCTCAACAATTTTGATTATATTTTTTTAAAAAAATAGACCTATTATAATAACAAAATTTAGGGTCCTAGGCAAGCACCTTAGTTTCCTATGCCTAGGGCCGACATTGATTATAAATTAATTGAATATGAATCGAATAAATTTTGACACAAGGCAACAAAAATATAATCAGAACTCACATGACCCGACTCATTAACGACCTTACTAGTAAGTCGGTTTCTGAAAGACCATGCTCATCGCCAGAGTGGCTCACCACCAGCATTACATCCATCAATTTTTCCTTACAATTGGACCATGAAGATTACATTGTTAGGTCTCAACTGCGTTGTTATTTGTAGTCATTGTTAACTTTAAAAAAAAAAAAATCACCTACTAATTTTAATGATGGGTAATGGTAGCAATTATTTTAAATGAACCGTATGAGTTCTAGTCTCGGCTAAGGGTGCAACTCGAGTAACTTGAAAGGGTTAGGGGATCAATTCAGACTCAACCCAAGTTATAAAACTTTCAATTCTAATCCAGCCTAAGCTTGACTTTCAACTTAAGTATTGTCCAAGTTAATTTCGCACTCAATTCAAATTAGTTTGGATTAATTAATTCGGGTTGTTGAGTCTTGTTCTATTCATTTTGTTCATTGATGGTCCTCGTCCATGTTAAAAACTCAATGACAAAATATCGAGTTCAAAACACTTTTATTTTGGTATATAAATCCTTTGTTTGGTTTGGTTAGTGTGGTAGACTATATTCGCCCGTGAAAGAATAACTTTATATTATCTTATTCTATAAATAAAATATGTTTATTTCGAAACTCAAGATACACAATATGAGTCAAGACACACCTAAATGCAGTGTTTTAAAACCTGACTCGGCCGACGGATTAATCCGAAAAACTGGTGAACCGGTGCCTGAGCCGGACCGATCCCTTAATTGGATCGGTCTAACAAATGACCCGCTTGAGAACCATTCAAACCGGCCTAAAACCGGTCATTTTTCATGAAACCCGAAAAACTGGTCTGGTTTTCACAAATCCAACAAACCCATTGCATTGAAACTCAAACATAAAATATTAAAACTTAACTTCAGGCCCCGAGCTTATACCAGGCTCATCTCATCCAAAAGAGCTGACGTCAAGCCATCAAGTCTTGACCAGCAAGAGCAGCAACCTGGAAAACCAATACTTTTAGTCTAGGTGCACAGTCTTCATAACTCCCAGTGAGTTTCTGATGTGGGATAGAGTAGGGCAGTTAAACTCACATTATTTCTTTTTTTATCAATTTTTCTTTTGATTTTTTAGGCATCATATTATTACTATTTAAGTATTTATACTAAATATTCAATATTTTTTAGTGAATTATTTTATGCTCTATCAAATTATATCAATTATGTAAATAAATTAATGAATTGAGGATATTTTTTGTCTTTTTATTTCATTTACTATAACATAAAATATGTTATTTTTTGTAACTATTATAATTTTTTAGTATATTTATTATTATTAATAATTATATGACCGGTTCGATCGATTGACTCACGGTTAAACTAATAACCCATTGACCCGATTTTTTTGTCGGGTTGGTGTCCGGGCCGGCTTTAAAAACTATAATTAAATAGATACACCCCCCAACATAACCACGTGGAGCCTAGCTAACTCGTGAAAGAGTGATGTGACACACCCTAGTCTATTAAAGATATTATAAATTTGCTTACAACCTGAGGGATACTAAGTGCAAGGAAAATGTTAAATAAACTTAAAAAATTAATTTAAATATTTGATTTGATGAATGTCTATTATTAAATAGATAGCGAGCTATAATAAATATTGGGATTCACAGTTAAATCAATGACAAATATAACATCAACATCATCAAGTCAATTTTTTAAAATTTGTATAGCATTGCTATGTGTGCAAATAGTATTTATGAACTATAGAAGATTTTTCATGTATTTTTTGTGGTTCTTTTTTTGTATATAATGGGTATATAAGAATCTTTTCCAATTAGCGTTATTCTTAATGAAATTATACTTACAAAATAGATTAATAACTGAAATTTTTACGAAAATAATATTAGCATTATCTGGCTCAACCCTTGACAACTTGTGAACCAATGTTTAGTAAAAAATTTTTTTTTTTTTTTGTTTTTATCGTTGGCTAAACAATTATTCAGATGATACGCAATTTTTCCAAACTAAAGCAGCCAAAAGAATGCTACATTCAGGATATATCTGTGTCCCAATTTCCTGCTGGCCACATCTTTTTCTTTTCGGTACTGGTCCCATGTTGATGTTCCTCACCTAGGGGTGTTTGGATCACCGGGTTAGATTGGATAGATTTTATTTTTTATATCCTACCCTATCCAATCCAATCCTATTCAACCACTTAAATTGGATGTGATATATTTTATATCCTATCCAACCCCCGTTTGGTTATCAATTTTGTAATTTCGTGGGACCCATGAATTAGACCATTGCTTTTATAGAATTTTACCATTCTCCTCATGGACATATTCAAATCATGCCTATGTTTAGTTTTCAAATGTTAATTAATTTCCACATCAAATTTCTACATAAAATACACATTAACTTATGATATTATTGTAATATAGTCTCCAAATTGCCGATAAAAAAAATTAAATTCGATACTAAAACCCAACATTTTGACAAAACCCACCTCAATCGAGGGCATGTTCTTTCTTACTCTCTCTGCCCCTCTCTATCTCTTTCCATGCTTCAATTCTTTTCAAATTGATTGCAACAAATATATATTTAGACATACAAAACTGTAACATAGATTGGGAAAAGAATATTCGAGGTTGAATAGATGTGTGTGTATATATATATACAGAAACAAAAACAAACAAACAATTTTAGTCTTGTATCACACAGCACCCAAAAAAAAATTAATTCTACGTCAAAAAGTTCACAAAGCAAGAGGCTGAAAGGTGAAAATTTGGTATTGCATCACACAGTACCAAAAAAAAGAAAAATCTGTGTCAACCAATTCACAAAACAAGAGGCATTCAGCATTATACGTAAAAGGTTTAACAAGTTCAATCAAATTCTAATGAAAATTTTAGCATACTAAAACATTAGATTGTTTGTATAAAATAAAAATATTTAAAAAAATAAATAATAATTGTCAAGAACTTAAATTACTCAACATCAAGTCCGTGGACTACGAGTTTCTCCAAGAGAAGCTGGGCGAGAAGAGCGAGCTTCTTCTCAAATCCAATCCTGTTTACAAGAAAATCCCAATTTTGATTCATGTTGATAAGCCAATATGTGAATCGCTAGTCATTGTCCAGTACATCGACGAGGTTTGGACATCTGGTCCTTCGATTCTTCCTTCAGATCCCTATGAACGTGCCATCCGACTTCAGTTGAGATGATATAGTGATCTCTTGTGGATTTGTCGGCCTCATGGATCAATATACAGACTCTAACGTCGTTGGTGCCGGCGGGTAAAGAAGACGCCGTCAATGATTGCTGATAATGAAGACGCTGTTGGCGACAACTATTGATGGACGAAGTTGGTGACGACCACTGTTGACCGTCGTTCATAGCAACGCAAGTGGCTGAGAAGTGATCTAGGGTTAAATTGTAAGAAATGGGTATTATAGTAATTAGATAATATACTACATTGGTTGGGTTTGTAACCCACGAAGAAGGTGGGTTAATTTTAGCCGGCGTAGAAGAGTTAAAATGTACTACAGCAACCGAATCAAGATTAAATCCGGGATTTCTATCCCACTTTTATTTTGACTTCTCAAACAAGGGATATGTTGGATTCATTATCTTATTAAGTTATCTTTATCAATTTTATTTGATTTTAACTCATTAGCCTAACACACCCTTAACAATAATATATTAATCTTTGTTGGCAGAGTAAGTACTAACGCTTGCATAGAATTAGAATGCCTGCTGGAGTCCAGTAATTTGATATCATATATAACTTTCTGTTTGGTATTACATGTTGGTAATCCCACATTCGGTAGAAAAAAAAAAATTGAAGCGGTGGTCGGCATGAAAGGTTCCGGATATTGTATATTGAGTATTGTATTAACGGATTTCCTAGTCCGCCGATAAATGATTTTAGAGTCGTTGACCGATAATCTTAAGTGAACTCTTGAAAAANCCGGATATTGTATATTGAGTATTGTATTACCGGGTTTCCTAGTCCGCCGATAAATGATTTTAGAGTCGTTGACCGACAATCTTAAGTGAATAGTGTAGTGTGTCAGTATTACCGATGACTTTTAAGAAAAAGTGAAAGTCCACAATCTCCCAACACTTGGTCAATACTGCTCTGCCATTAGGCAAGTGAAGCGGTCACCTAGGGCCTTACTTGTCTAGGTCCTGTTCGCGTATATTTTATAAAATTTTATTAATAATTTTTTTTTAAAAAAATAATGATGTTTCGTAAAATGGTCAAACAATTATTCTTTAAATCATAAATAAAAAAAATATTGAATCATGTTAAAAAAGATTTAACATTTTTATTTTATTTGAATTTATAATAACTCCGACCTATTTATAGTTATATTTTCTTCAATTATAATTTTCGAGTTAAATTGATTTGAATTTAAACATAATGTGTTTGTTTTGTAAGTTGCTTTTCACCTTAAATATACATACTAAAAGATATAAATTTAAATATTTAAAAATAAAATTAAATAAATTATTCATTTAAAAATAATTTTGGGGCTCCGTTTAAAAATTGCGCCTAGAGCCTCAAGTATTATTGGCCCGGCCCTGCATTTACCCAAAAAGAAAATAGATCATATGACAAATTCCATCAACATTCGGCCAAAATATATTAGGCTTATTGGTCTATAATCTACAAACTTGTACGATATACGAGATTTATTGATCCGTCGTGTCTTTTTCCACTCCTGTTCTTCCTTGTCTCACTAGTTCCTAACTTCAACCGATAATCATGGGATAGGAAAATAAACAACTAAATAGTAAGTAGTAGTAAATTAGTAGGAGTGTGCAAGAATGGATGTATAGGATATTTGGTAAATGTAATTAGATGAAACTCGTCATTTTACATTAAATAAATCAAAATTATATTAATTAATAAGTGAGACGAGAAGGCTTTTGAAGCATTCTCTTTAGAAATTTATTGTGATAAATAGGTAGATGCGATGATTCTGTTCTTTTGTTTGCTTAATTTTTCTCTCACGAGTAAATATTCAATGTAATGATAATATCATGTCTTCATTTGACACGTCGTATTACTATTTAATTACAAAAATCATATAGATTAAGTGAATCACAAATAATTCGAATAAAAATGACCCTAGTTACGTAGTTGTAGCTGAGATGGGGTCAAACCACTAGAGCATAATAACTCATTATTTAATTTAGATAATGTCATTAAAACTATTAGGTGCATTAAATTTTAATGTTTAATGAAATTTAAAGTCAATCCAAATATTAAAGTAAATACAGAGACCGAAACAATGCAACCTGTTGGGGCCCCATTATGGGGTTCTATGGTTAAATTCGGTACAGTTAAAAAAAATTCGGTACAATACTTTTAAACTTTACTATTTTAATGGTTGTTATTATAATTTTTATGAGTTATTTTACAATAAAAAATTTTATAATCTTTGTAGGTAATTTAATACTTTTGTGGGTATTTTTACTATTATTGTAATAATTATTTGTATCATTGTTCTTCGATACAAAAAATTATTATTATTGTGGTTAATTTATCACTATTATGCATATTATTATTATTGGTGTTTTTATCACTATTATGATAATTATTTTTATTACTTTTTTAGTTACCACAGTAATGATTAAAACACCCACAAATATATTAAAAATAATCACAAATATAATAAACGAATATATAATACCAAATTTTATTTTTGAGTACCACAATCAAGTCCATTAGGGAACATAAATTATGTAAACTAGTATGAGGAAATAAAAAAGAGATTATGAGCCCACAAGCAAACAAAGAAGCAATGAATGTGGGAAAATATCACCTCAATATGATTAATTATTGACAAAAAAAAAGTATTTGGCAACGTTTTGGCCTACATGGTCACGTGTGTCAATTAATATGTCACACTAGCACACCAGTTGCTCTTAATACTCACAATACCCTTACTGTCTTTCCCTCTTAATTACCCATAATGCAATGTTATGCACATTAAAGTTGTATAGCAAAAGTATATATTAAATTATTAAAAGATGTTGAATCGGTGAAATCTACTATCATAAAACGATTAAAATAATTTAATACTCAAATTTAATACACATTAAATTATCCTTACCATAACTCTCTCCAACCGCACTCAAGTGCCTAGAGTGATTATAAGTTTATATATCTTCGTTTATTTATTCCCAATTCTTTCCTTCCATCCCTCCATATTTTTCTCTTTATTTCAACCTATTGTATTTATGCACACGAGTGACTATATGCAGGACTCCCGGTCAAGCGAAAAAATATTAATCGTAATGCGGTAACAGTTATATCGTATCAATAATATCACGTGGTATAATCGTTCAATGATAACTCAAAAAAAGAGGTAAAATAAATCCTACTCTTTTAAATAATTACACCTTCATGGAAGAAAGAAAGAAAGAAAGAAAATGTTACACAAACTTAAAATGTTGATTTGATTTGTTAATTTGATCAATCTCAATCATTGAATAGACAGTGAGTCTTAATAAATATTTTGATTAAGTAAACATTTTAAGTTCATGTGACGACATTGCTTATAAAAGAAAGCAATCGCTCCATGTAAAAAAATAGTATTCACTTTGCTTACTTGATTATTCATTATTAAATAATTATACTAAATAGCAATACTAACATGAGGTGACCGATTGAATATTTACTGTTGTCAAGCAGTCACGGAAAGGCAAGAGGGGAGAAAATATTTATTATAACGGTTATACCACGTGATAAGGTAATGTGGTATCACTAGTCAATAATAATAAAACAAATAAATAGATAGACCTCACAAAAATTAATAACTAACTTGTCATGTTAGCAAATAACTCCTCACTCTTCTGTCATGTAAGTCTAAGTGGAATTCACATTTCCCATTTGGGATTTAGTCTAAGTGGAATTCACATTTTCCATTTGGAATTTTATTGTTGAACGGTGATATGATATCAACCTTGCATTCAATATTTACTCGTGAGAGGAGTCCTTCGCCTCCCTTGATTTATGCTGCCCCAAATATTGTTGGGTACCATAGAGCCAAGCCCATTAGTTACAACATGGCCCTGTTTTCTGTTTTGACCCATAGCCCATCTGCTTTTAAAAAAAGTCATCCAAAAAACAATAGGCCGAGAGGGGATTTTTGTTTCTATTCTTTGTCACTGTCCAACTGAAAACGGGAAAAATTATTATAATTAACGATTGGCAATTAGATGCTAAAAAACTAATAAAAAATTAAAATGAAATAACAATAAAGGGGAAAAAAATAAAATCAAGTCGTTGCAAATAATGCACGAATTGCAGCTTATGTGGCAACAATAGTATTAGAACGAGAAGAAGTTTTGAATTTGATGATGTTAGGTTGAATTGAATTTGACACAATAACTCAAAAATCAACAATGAGCTTGAAGCTACAACAGATAATTGCACCAAACTAATTTAGAAGTACCTTTTTTTTTACTTGTTCAGTATTCTTACCGATACTGCTTATACCTATACGTCTTAGAGGATAGAGACAAAACATGTTACTCTAGCTCTACGGATAGGAAAACACATAACTCAAGACGGAACACTTGCTGAAAGCAAAAACTATAAAATTGACTTTAGAAAAAGAACTCCAAGAGGAGAACGTCTTTTCATCTCTAGTCCGCCTCTTTTACCCCAATTCAAGAGACCTATTTAGCTGGTATTATAAGAAAAAAAATTATTATTATTATTTTTATTGATTTTTGATATCTTGATCGAGGATTGCGTGAATTGCTTTAATTTATAATATCTTTTATAAACACACGATTCGATTGAGGTCCCTTAGCCTATACTTGAATGCTACATTTTTTGTTTTTCTTTTTGGTGGTAATCACCAGAACAATGCTACAATCAAGACATATATATATACAAGTCTCAATTTCTCTCTGGTCACATAAAAATGTTCCTCGAGTAGACATTAATCTTGGATGGAGGGGCCAACCATCACTCATTTTTGCTTACAAAGTCAAGGAGGGAAAGCTGTGAATCACGCATCAATTGCTCTCAACATGTCTGTGACTTCACTCCCACCAAGCTTGTTGGTATATGCTGAGACTTTGGCAGGTCCAATGTCAGCTAGTAAGGTCCCCTCTCTACAGCAGGACATATATGCTTTTCTGTGAACAAGCATCCATCAAACTGTTCAGAAGGATCAGGAAAAACTAGAGATTAGGAAGGTCGTTAGTTAACTTTACTAATGATATTAAACATGGTCCACTTTCAACCCTTCGTTACAGTTGGATTAGCAACGGCTATTAAATATTAAACGGGTCCACTTTTGGTCCAACGAAAACAATGACTTATATTTCTAAATCAAGTCTACCAATGTACATTAAGTGTAGTGATGTTA